GCCTGTGGCATTCAGTTCAGTTGGCAAATCTTCAAGAAGACCAACACTTTCATTGTAAAATAAACCACCGAGAATTACCTGCAAACGAGAAATTCTTTTTAGCGATATTTCACAGGTTTATCCACAAATGAGATTTTGAAAACCCAGCAAACATTCTCAAGAGTTGAGCATCAAGCATCTCAACGAAATAGTTCACTCAAAAGATGTTACACATTCTCGCTGAACGGTACAACTATGAATGAATTACGAGCTGCTTTAGGAGGATTGGATTAACCGTGACTCATAAACTTGGTGAAGTGCTATTCGTCTCATTTCGAGTTCTCAGCCAAGGAATAACCTCCGTTTTTTGCACTGTTTTACAAAAATTATTCAACATGATCAACTGCACGAAAATCCAACTGTACAATTAAAGATTCAACCAAAAAGTCTTACAAAAACTACTTTCCCGTTGACAACCGACCCATTGCCATGAGCTGCCCATTCACTTTGGAAAACAGATCATGCTACAAACATTCGCAACTTTTTCAAAATCACCAATTGAAAATGGCAACACAAAACGCGCAACAAATAAAGACGCAAATGACGAGCTACTTCTTCACGAGTACCTTTGCAAGTATTCGTTAGAATGAAAAAGATTTCTATCCACTTAAGTCAAAATATACTGCAAATTATGATAAGAATTGAGTATTTGAAAAAGCTCATGCACTTACTAACCATCATAATTAGTCCCCAAAGCGAAACTCCCATCACAAAACCACTGCATTTTGGACCGCACGCCATATTTGCTCAACCGAGGGCACACACAGCCGACTTATGATGCTTATCAGTTGCATGCATTGATCATTGATAAATTGTCTTCAGTCAAACCTCTTATCAGGGTCCCTCTAAGAATCACTTCACTTATGAAACGTTAAGATGCGCGTTCACTTCATTTCTTGCAGCAAAAAATTTTGTTCCTCTTTTGTAATTTCTTAACGGCTGGAATGAAAAGAGATCAGATCATTGAAATTGCCAAGATCACTCAATAATTATAATAATGATCTACTCACTGGTTTCATGTTAGCATGCATACATTTTGTTTGTGTGTGAAGTGCTTCAGTAGCGAATTTAACAGTCAATTGGTGCAGAACATCTACTCGATCCATCTTTTTAGTGATGCAAACTGGTGTGTTACGCGGACGGAAAGAAGTCGCGGAGGAGGAAAATCGAAAAAAATTCTACAGTCGGAGACCTCGAAAATGCGGTTGGTTCAAAATCGGTCGGGTACGGGGATTTGGCAACGGAGTGCCTGAAAATACCCTACCCGTGCAACACACTGCTCAAGACGACTGAAGCCGAAGATTCGGACTTAGTGGAAAAGTTCAGTCGAGAAGAGTGTCAATGAGGCTGCAACGGAAATAATCCCTGATCAAATACTAGGTTGCTATGGAAATCTGAGATGAGCTCTTTATTGAACTTGAATTCGCATGAATCTATCGTGAATGGCCATCATGTTCATTTAGATAGTGAGCATGCTTATGCAGTGTTTCATTTAAATAGCGAGCATACTTAGAAACTCCACTTCCTATGGCAAGCCGTAATTGCCATCCTACTATTTACTATTTCCAGACATAACATCGGAAGCAAATCGACTAACATCAGAATCAAGTCCAGAAATTCCTTAGTGGCAGGAAAAAAATTAATTTCCTGGAATGGAACAAGTATTTTCAGAACTCTATTCGTCAAATACGGAAACAATCCGAACCTTAGCAATTGAAAATGGAATGAAATACTAGTTTACCGACCCATCAATTACCCCTGACGCTTCCAAATTGCCCCATAGGCGCAGTTCACTCTTGTATGAGAACCAATCGTTAATCTGATGAAGTGTGAGTCTGTTTTTGTGTTAATTTGATGGAGTACTTTATGCTGAATCACTGAATGTAGATGTTTATCGACATCTTTCAATTTCATTAATTGCTGGGATATGCAATGATAGGAAAGGTGATAAGTAGCGGTTGTCATGACAAACATTTGCCTTGAATTTAAGACGACACATCGCTTCATCAACTTATTCATTCTTTCATCAATGAGAAGACTTGATGGGCATTCAGGCATTAGTTCAGCGCTAGTGAGAACATGGTTCTGAAATTTGCTTCTCAGACTCTCACAGCCATTGATTTTCGAGATCTTGGAATGCTAACAGTATGACTTGGTAGAATGATACACAAAATGCCAACATTTTATTTGATTCATTCATGCGCTTCTGGTTGATCGGTGAAAATATTATAGTTTAATTTTGAAATGTGCAGTGTTTCCTTCACTCGTCATGATGTGATTATTTTCCTTTTATATTATTCGCTTTCCTGTGGAACACTCAACTGTGAATGTTTCATGTCCTTTATATGATATAAATGATCCACAGCAAGACATTTAGACTGTGTGAATCAAATTCAGTTTCTCAATTCGCTGAAATGATAATAAATCTGGGAAGATAGAACAAGTTCCTTGGCAACATTTGGTTCACAGAGTTTCCGGATTTTCTGAAAATCATCAGCATCATTGAAGAAAACAATTCAGCTGATGGTTTTGTATGCTTATCTTAATTACAACAATCTTACTGACTGCAAATCTCGGAATAGATTCTCACAGTTCCATGGTTATTCATGAGTTTATGGTAAAGTTCTGTTCCAATATTGACTTGCGCTCTTATTGGAAGCAAGCAGTTGTTAACACTGGTTCTGAAATGCTATGAAACGAGTGGAATGATTGACTCAGAAGCAGGAATGTTGTCGCTCTCATGATGCAGAACAAATTCCGATAAATTTTCAAAATGTTGGTAATGGTCAAATCTTTTGTTCAAAATATGCATTTTGGGATGCTTGAAAGCTTGATGATTATACACGAATTTCGACAAACCAACCATTCAGTCGTTGTATNTTTTTTTTCATCAGTTCATATATTCACTACTTTTAGATGTTAGCGTTTTTGCTTGTTTCATGTCAATCATTTCAGAAGCAGATGTTAACCATACGATATCGCAATAAGTTCAGCATGAAAGAATCGATTTACGAACGGACTCGGATATGTTTTGTCTAGTTGCATCAAGAACGCTTGTCTCGTTGTGAGAAATAATTTTTACAAGTCCATATTCTTCGCTCATGATTGCACTCCCATCGATCAGAACCTACTGAAATGTGCTTTGCATGTAATCTTTACATTCATATTTATTATGTTATTTCATGCACTTCCCACAGTATTCCCATAACAATGGAATAGAGATAAATGATTGGAATGTTTGAGACTATAAACACTTTCGCAATATTTGAAGAGAAGCAACTGAAACCATTTTTCGGATTTGCTAAGTTTGTCGTCATGAACAGTTAGATATAGTGTCGAATTGTTGAACGCTGTTAACTGACGTATCGTGCTTTTTCATGTGAACAAAGATATTTTTGAGATATAGACAATGAACAATATAAACGTCACATGCATTTATACAGCAGATTTTATCTGATTTCGTTTGGTGCTTTTCGTGTCCTTGCATTCATAAAATGAAAAATTTCAAAGACAACTATAAATAGTCGTCATTCGATTATCGTTCATTAGTTCATGTTGTACGGATATCGTACATTCATTGCTGCATCCCCACCAGTAAAGGAGATAAAATGCTTGCACTTGTGGGAATTAGAATCACATCGTTCTTGCACGCTTTACCTCCATGTTCTTCACTTTATAAACAAATTCCTAGCAGTGGGTTTCCCTCTTGCATCATAAATTCGAACCATTCAATCATGAAACTCAATGACATATTGCAAAAATTGTTTCTGCAACCAGTCGGCTGCATGATTTCATCGTCAACTGAATTTACTTCTGCTTCTTGTATGCTGCCAACTAGGTATGGTTTTGCTTTCGTTCAGAAGAATCCCATAAATGCTTCTCTTAAATACGTGTCGATCCTTCAGTGTGTGCCACTGTTCTGTCAAGCAGCACCGAGCCATTTCAGTGTGGATATTCGGTTTCAACTTGATGATAAAGTCGGTCAAATTGATGTCTCGGTTTGAGACTTTCCATTGTGATTCTTCGATTGGAGCGCACAGGTTCATGCACTGATGTATCATTCTACATGCTGACCTCATTAATATTCACTGCTTCATTTAGATTTCATCTTTCTAAATTACCACTTTACATACCCGAATCTGCTGAATGCACCATTTTAAGTTAGTCATGTGAGATGATGATTTATTATCGTTTCTCGCACACCAAATTGTTCAGTCTCAGTCGTTTCCAGTGATACTTCTCAATAGAGAAGTTATCTTAATTAAAAGGTTTGAAACGCGATTTCTGTATGTTGATTGGCTGCCAATACAGAAAATAAACGATGACTTCATACGGTGGTTAACCTAAAGAGTTCAAATCAATTTGTGTATATAATGAATAAAATATGAAGTCGAGAACGATTAGAGTCAGTCTGGAAAGAAGTAGGCTGCTAGGTTAATTTCAGCATTTTGGCAACGTGGCCTCCGGCAGTCAGCACGATAAAATTCATTAGTTCAACGGTTTAGCACATAGTTTACTACGATAGATTCAAATTTTGGGAGTTGCTGTGAAGGTTGAAGTTTTTCATTTGGTTACGCGACAGTCTTGAGTAATAATGACGATGAATTAATCAGGATGATCGTGGTCCGCTTCATCACTGTTAATTGCATTATTCGATGGCGAACCCTATTTCATTGATTTCGGATTAATCCGAAGAGCTGTTCTGGTTTATTCCGAAGTTGTAGTTGTCCTCCGTTGCGTCTCATTAGTTTCCTGATCACATTCTCGTTCCCTGCTCATGAGGCTTGTTGTGATGATATGGTTTTTATAAGTGGTTTGTGCACATTGCATGTCGCGGAAATTCGTGTATCGTTTAAATTCTCGGAGGTTTAAAATGTGGACAATGACTGATTGACTTATAGGTAAAATAAAAATGGATGGCGCAGGTGATAGCAGCTTTGATTTCGAAGACGATGGCCAAACGTTATCGCAGATGCTCGGTGATCATATCGGGCTAACGTACAAGTAATTTTTTAAAAACACTATTTTAGAACTTGATCTAGTTTGGTCTAACTGGCTCCATATCCTCAGTTCAGTGAGTTTTTTGTAACTGTCGATTTGGTTAACCTAAAGAGTTCAAATCAACTTGTATCTGTAATGAATAAAATATTTGCCCATGTAAACACAAGCGTATCTTAGCCAGGACGCATACACGCCTGAGATGTAAGTGTAACTTAATCTTAGTGTACAAGGACACATTGAAAGTGGAACATAACATCTGGTTTTGTCATTCATAAATGAAAGCATCAGTATTTCAGTGACTTCAATATTCTGCCTGGTTTCATCGATTTCGCCGTGTCATCTGTTGATCTGACTACGAATCTCACTAAAAATATCACTCTAAAAGCTCCTATCGTCTCATCCCCAATGGATACGGTCACCGAAAGTGAAATGGCAATTGCTATGGCGGTCAGTTCCATATTTTGCCGAAATTTCGTTCTAGTTGAATGTGAATTTCAGGGAATTATAGTGTGTCATATCGATGAGATGAAATGCAATGCACTGTATTCGTTTTGTTTTTCCTGCATGACCCCTTTCTTGAATTGTGTTATCATCACAGTATTTTATTCTTTCAGCTGCATGGTGGTATAGGTATTATTCATTCCAATTTCGCAACGATTCAAGATCAAGCCCGTGAAGTTACGAAAGTGAAGGTGATTATAAATGATTAGCGTTGAT